TGAACTTGCTGAACTAAGGCTTGTTTGTGTTGTTGAAACAGACGGTGATGGTGTTGATGCAGATGTGGGATTTGATGTCGCTACTGATGTTGAACTTGCTGAACTAAGGCTTGTTTGTGTTGTTGAAACAGATGGTGATGGTGTTGATGCAGATGTTGGATTTGATGTCGCTACTGATGTTGAACTTGCTGAGCTAATAATTGGTTGTGTTGTTGAAACAGACGGTGATGGTGTTGATGCAGATGTTGGATTTGATGTCACTACTGATGTTGAACTTGCTGAACTAAGGCTTGTCTGTGTTGTTGAAACAGACGGTGATGGTGTTGATGCAGATGTTGGATTTGATGTCGCTACTGATGTTGAACTTGCTGAGCTAATAATTGGTTGTGTTGTTGAAACAGATGGTGATGGTGTTGATGCAGATGTTGGATTTGATGTCGCTACTGATGTTGAACTTGCTGAGCCAATGATTGTTTGTGTAGTTGAAACAGATGGTGTAGGTGTTGATGCAGTTGTTGGATTTGATGTCACTAGTGATGTTGAACTTGCTGAGCCAGGGGTTGTTTGTGTTGTTGAAACAGATGGTGATGGTGTTGATGCAGATGTTGGATTTGATGTCGCTACTGATGTTGAACTTGCTGAGTTAATGATTGGTTGTGTTGTTGAAACAGATGGTGATGGTGTTGATACAGTTGTTGGATTTGATGTCACTACTGATGTTGAACTTGCTGAGCCAGGGGTTGTTTGTGTTGTTGAAACAGACGGTGATGGTGTTGATGCAGATGTTGGATTTGATGTCGCTACTGATGTTGAACTTGCTGAACTAAGGCTTGTTTGTGTTGTTGAAACAGACGGTGATGGTGTTGATGCAGATGTTGGATTTGATGTCGCTACTGATGTTGAACTTGCTGAACTAAGGCTTGTTTGTGTTGTTGAAACAGACGGTGATGGTGTTGATGCAGATGTGGGATTTGATGTCGCTACTGATGTTGAACTTGCTGAACTAAGGCTTGTTTGTGTTGTTGAAACAGATGGTGATGGTGTTGATGCAGATGTTGGATTTGATGTCGCTACTGATGTTGAACTTGCTGAGCTAATAATTGGTTGTGTTGTTGAAACAGACGGTGATGGTGTTGATGCAGATGTTGGATTTGATGTCACTACTGATGTTGAACTTGCTGAACTAAGGCTTGTCTGTGTTGTTGAAACAGACGGTGATGGTGTTGATGCAGATGTTGGATTTGATGTCGCTACTGATGTTGAACTTGCTGAGCTAATAATTGGTTGTGTTGTTGAAACAGATGGTGATGGTGTTGATGCAGATGTTGGATTTGATGTCGCTACTGATGTTGAACTTGCTGAACTAAGGCTTGTCTGTGTTGTTGAAACAGATGGTGATGGTGTTGATGCAGATGTTGGATTTGATGTCACTACTGATGTTGAACTTGCTGAGCCAAGGGTTGTTTGTGTTGTTGAAACAGATGGTGATGGTGTTGATACAGTTGTTGGATTTGATGTCACTAGTGATGTTGAACTTGCTGAGCCAGGGGTTGTTTGTGTTGTTGAAACAGATGGTGATGGTGTTGATGCAGATGTTGGATTTGATGTCGCTACTGATGTTGAACTTGCTGAGTTAATGATTGGTTGTGTTGTTGAAACAGATGGTGATGGTGTTGATACAGTTGTTGGATTTGATGTCACTACTGATGTTGAACTTGCTGAGCCAGGGGTTGTTTGTGTTGTTGAAACAGACGGTGATGGTGTTGATGCAGATGTTGGATTTGATGTCGCTACTGATGTTGAACTTGCTGAACTAAGGCTTGTTTGTGTTGTTGAAACAGACGGTGATGGTGTTGATGCAGATGTTGGATTTGATGTCGCTACTGATGTTGAACTTGCTGAACTAAGGCTTGTTTGTGTTGTTGAAACAGACGGTGATGGTGTTGATGCAGATGTGGGATTTGATGTCGCTACTGATGTTGAACTTGCTGAACTAAGGCTTGTTTGTGTTGTTGAAACAGATGGTGATGGTGTTGATGCAGATGTTGGATTTGATGTCGCTACTGATGTTGAACTTGCTGAGCTAATAATTGGTTGTGTTGTTGAAACAGACGGTGATGGTGTTGATGCAGATGTTGGATTTGATGTCACTACTGATGTTGAACTTGCTGAACTAAGGCTTGTCTGTGTTGTTGAAACAGACGGTGATGGTGTTGATGCAGATGTTGGATTTGATGTCGCTACTGATGTTGAACTTGCTGAGCTAATAATTGGTTGTGTTGTTGAAACAGATGGTGATGGTGTTGATGCAGATGTTGGATTTGATGTCGCTACTGATGTTGAACTTGCTGAGCCAATGATTGTTTGTGTAGTTGAAACAGATGGTGTAGGTGTTGATGCAGTTGTTGGATTTGATGTCACTAGTGATGTTGAACTTGCTGAGCCAGGGGTTGTTTGTGTTGTTGAAACAGATGGTGATGGTGTTGATGCAGATGTTGGATTTGATGTCGCTACTGATGTTGAACTTGCTGAGTTAATGATTGGTTGTGTTGTTGAAACAGATGGTGATGGTGTTGATACAGTTGTTGGATTTGATGTCACTACTGATGTTGAACTTGCTGAACTAAGGCTTGTTTGTGTTGTTGAAACAGACGGTGATGGTGTTGATGCAGATGTTGGATTTGATGTCACTACTGATGTTGAACTTGCTGAGCCAAGGGTTGTTTGTGTTGTTGAAACAGATGGTGATGGTGTTGATACAGTTGTTGGATTTGATGTCACTAGTGATGTTGAACTTGCTGAGCCAGGGGTTGTTTGTGTTGTTGAAACAGATGGTGATGGTGTTGATGCAGATGTTGGATTTGATGTCGCTACTGATGTTGAACTTGCTGAGTTAATGATTGGTTGTGTTGTTGAAACAGATGGTGATGGTGTTGATACAGTTGTTGGATTTGATGTCACTACTGATGTTGAACTTGCTGAGCCAGGGGTTGTTTGTGTTGTTGAAACAGACGGTGATGGTGTTGATGCAGATGTTGGATTTGATGTCGCTACTGATGTTGAACTTGCTGAACTAAGGCTTGTTTGTGTTGTTGAAACAGACGGTGATGGTGTTGATGCAGATGTTGGATTTGATGTCGCTACTGATGTTGAACTTGCTGAACTAAGGCTTGTTTGTGTTGTTGAAACAGACGGTGATGGTGTTGATGCAGATGTGGGATTTGATGTCGCTACTGATGTTGAACTTGCTGAACTAAGGCTTGTTTGTGTTGTTGAAACAGATGGTGATGGTGTTGATGCAGATGTTGGATTTGATGTCGCTACTGATGTTGAACTTGCTGAGCTAATAATTGGTTGTGTTGTTGAAACAGACGGTGATGGTGTTGATGCAGATGTTGGATTTGATGTCACTACTGATGTTGAACTTGCTGAACTAAGGCTTGTCTGTGTTGTTGAAACAGACGGTGATGGTGTTGATGCAGATGTTGGATTTGATGTCGCTACTGATGTTGAACTTGCTGAGCTAATAATTGGTTGTGTTGTTGAAACAGATGGTGATGGTGTTGATGCAGATGTTGGATTTGATGTCGCTACTGATGTTGAACTTGCTGAGCCAATGATTGTTTGTGTAGTTGAAACAGATGGTGTAGGTGTTGATGCAGTTGTTGGATTTGATGTCACTAGTGATGTTGAACTTGCTGAGCCAGGGGTTGTTTGTGTTGTTGAAACAGATGGTGATGGTGTTGATGCAGATGTTGGATTTGATGTCGCTACTGATGTTGAACTTGCTGAGTTAATGATTGGTTGTGTTGTTGAAACAGATGGTGATGGTGTTGATACAGTTGTTGGATTTGATGTCACTACTGATGTTGAACTTGCTGAGCCAGGGGTTGTTTGTGTTGTTGAAACAGACGGTGATGGTGTTGATGCAGATGTTGGATTTGATGTCGCTACTGATGTTGAACTTGCTGAACTAAGGCTTGTTTGTGTTGTTGAAACAGACGGTGATGGTGTTGATGCAGATGTTGGATTTGATGTCGCTACTGATGTTGAACTTGCTGAACTAAGGCTTGTTTGTGTTGTTGAAACAGACGGTGATGGTGTTGATGCAGATGTGGGATTTGATGTCGCTACTGATGTTGAACTTGCTGAACTAAGGCTTGTTTGTGTTGTTGAAACAGATGGTGATGGTGTTGATGCAGATGTTGGATTTGATGTCGCTACTGATGTTGAACTTGCTGAGCTAATAATTGGTTGTGTTGTTGAAACAGACGGTGATGGTGTTGATGCAGATGTTGGATTTGATGTCACTACTGATGTTGAACTTGCTGAACTAAGGCTTGTCTGTGTTGTTGAAACAGACGGTGATGGTGTTGATGCAGATGTTGGATTTGATGTCGCTACTGATGTTGAACTTGCTGAGCTAATAATTGGTTGTGTTGTTGAAACAGATGGTGATGGTGTTGATGCAGATGTTGGATTTGATGTCGCTACTGATGTTGAACTTGCTGAGCCAATGATTGTTTGTGTAGTTGAAACAGATGGTGTAGGTGTTGATGCAGTTGTTGGATTTGATGTCACTAGTGATGTTGAACTTGCTGAGCCAGGGGTTGTTTGTGTTGTTGAAACAGATGGTGATGGTGTTGATGCAGATGTTGGATTTGATGTCGCTACTGATGTTGAACTTGCTGAGTTAATGATTGGTTGTGTTGTTGAAACAGATGGTGATGGTGTTGATACAGTTGTTGGATTTGATGTCACTACTGATGTTGAACTTGCTGAGCCAGGGGTTGTTTGTGTTGTTGAAACAGACGGTGATGGTGTTGATGCAGATGTTGGATTTGATGTCGCTACTGATGTTGAACTTGCTGAACTAAGGCTTGTTTGTGTTGTTGAAACAGACGGTGATGGTGTTGATGCAGATGTTGGATTTGATGTCGCTACTGATGTTGAACTTGCTGAACTAAGGCTTGTTTGTGTTGTTGAAACAGACGGTGATGGTGTTGATGCAGATGTGGGATTTGATGTCGCTACTGATGTTGAACTTGCTGAACTAAGGCTTGTTTGTGTTGTTGAAACAGATGGTGATGGTGTTGATGCAGATGTTGGATTTGATGTCGCTACTGATGTTGAACTTGCTGAGCTAATAATTGGTTGTGTTGTTGAAACAGACGGTGATGGTGTTGATGCAGATGTTGGATTTGATGTCACTACTGATGTTGAACTTGCTGAACTAAGGCTTGTCTGTGTTGTTGAAACAGACGGTGATGGTGTTGATGCAGATGTTGGATTTGATGTCGCTACTGATGTTGAACTTGCTGAGCTAATAATTGGTTGTGTTGTTGAAACAGATGGTGATGGTGTTGATGCAGATGTTGGATTTGATGTCGCTACTGATGTTGAACTTGCTGAGCCAATGATTGTTTGTGTAGTTGAAACAGATGGTGTAGGTGTTGATGCAGATAATGGCACACTTGATATTAATGATGCTGTTGATGTAGTTGTTGACCCAGCAGTTGTTGAACTCGCTGTTGATATTGCAGCTGACAGTTGTATTGTTGATGTCACTGAACTTGCTGTTGTTGTCGTGGTTGATGATGGTAACAATACGCTCGAAGAGGTTGCACTTGTAGTTGTACTTGCAGCTGAAAAATAATTTTACAAAATCTCAACATTAAAGAGCAAGTGAGAGCCTGATTGCAATGCTTATTTTTCTTTCATAAAACGATCATGTAATTGCGTTTGGAGTTTTCAAATCAAGTTAATATTTTTGTGCCACGTTTAGTTGCAAGGGCTGATACTTAGCATTTTCAAGCCCAGCATGTTTAAATTTACTTTTGTAGATGTATAAAACCGACTAATCTTGTTAAGAAAACGCATATATATACGCTCTAATTTCGTACTTTATAAATACTGGCATTAAGTTTGTACTTTACTTTGTTTCTTATTTCTTGATCATTTTTAGCACCCATATCTGTCACAAGTTATTTTTTCTTCACAATAAACGTTCTACATTTGAGTAACGATCATAAAATGTCCCCCAACCATGAGGTAATGTGTCAGGCATCTATAAAGTACAACTCTGAACAATATTTAATTCGCTAGTGACGTTCCACACGAGGTGAGCCTCCTCGTGTTCGACTGAGGCGATCAATGTGGGGAATACACCAACTCCTCCTCCTCCTGCTGCAGCTGCAGCAGTAGCAGAAGCAGCACGCATGCCACCGAGCTCACAACGCGGCCACTCGGATTTTTACCGCGGTCCCACCGGGTTGTTCCCCTCCACATTTAGGATCAACATGCGTTCAATAGTATTTGGCTGCTATATACATTTCTACACGATAAGCCACTTCATTGGCCTATTATTTGTGGCCAGGTCGCTTCTGAAAAAGACATGTCTAGCTTTACCTGGTAAAAATAAAAATAAAACAATTGTTTTGTTTAGTACCAGTTACACCATCAGGGACAGTACCACCCACAACACCTGCCGAGACACATGCCCAGCAGCTGCTGCACGTGACAGGCCGCGCCGAGATGCGATTCGTCTGCTGTGCCCTTCAAGCTGGCTGGATTGTGTTTCACAGTTGTAACAGCAGTATACAGTGGCACGGGAGATGGTCAACTCTACGATAGCACGACATGCGAATTAAAAGAACACGTCTTACCATTTGTCCAACGCAGAGACAGCATCACAAAGAGTATTAATGTATTCATTTTCCCTCACAGTCCTTCGCCTCTTCTTGATTGTGATAACTGAAATGCAATGGGAGACTTGTGAACAAATGAAAGACATTACAAATTAGGTCATTTTAATACAGTATATTTAACACAATCATGTTATTATAGGTATGACACGTCTTATGTTGAAACACAGTAAGTGAAGAAGATATCGAGCAATTAATTGTATCGTGATATTTCAATAGTTTCCTTTTTAACCAAGTTTGCGAACGCCCTTGGGTGTATTGAAGGAGCCGGTAAGCGTTACATCCTCAAGGTAAGCATTACATCCTCAAGGTAAGCATTACATCCTCAAGGTAAGCATTACATCCTCAAGGTAAGCATTACATCCTCAAGGTAAGCATTACATCCTCAAGGTAAGCATTACATCCTCAAGGTAAGCATTACATCCTCAAGGTAAGCGTTACATCCTCAAGGTAAGCATTACATCCTCAAGGTAAGCATTACATCCTCAAGGTAAGCATTACATCCTCAAGGTAAGCATTACATCCTCAAGGTAAGCATTACATCCTCAAGGTAAGCGTTACATCCTCAAGGTAAGCGTTACATCCTCAAGGATTCCTCTTCATTCCCTCTCTCGCTACACTGTACAATCAATCCTGAAGCATTCGCTTTCCTCCGAAATGTTTGTACAGTATCTCGGCGTGAAATTGAGGCAATCGTAGAAGTGTGGACACATCCCCTGGTGTGCTTGCATGCAAATAACCAAATAACCCCTCCCCAACTCTCGTCTGCTTCATGACATCCACTCAAGGATCACCGTATAGGAGAGTCGACGAGGCCGCGGTAATTAATTGTAGACAACTTCCTTCCAATGACGGCAGACATCCATAATGGAAGTTGTGTTGATATTGGCGAGTGGGGGGGGGGTTCTGGGCTGTGTAAGAAACGAGCACTTTGTTCTGATCTGATTCACTGTAGGTTTTCATTTCACCCATATCTCCTGATAATAACAACAAAGTTAAACGAGCACACGTGGAACTCTGGGTTATGTTTTCCTGACAAATTTACCTTCTGTCAAAACCTCTCAACCCCTTATCGGTGCCCTACCTTACTACACACCAACTCAGACCGTATTGGTCACCACGTGTCCCTTATAAACATCAACGTTCATCCTACAAAGTCCCATCACAAGGGAGAAACACAAACAAATAGACACAAATTATAGTGTTTTGCCCGTATTGAAACGGCTGTACGCCGTATGGACCTGAAAACTCAATTCCCCTGTACAAGAATACGGAGTGAAGCGTGTGGGTTGACAGGGAATGTAACTCCCAGCCGTGTTTTTCTTGTATACACACACACGCACACGATTGCACCTTCAACACGTTCACTCAGTCTCCCACCACTTCGTTATCAGAGGCAACACGAGTTGTTACAGAGCTTCCCCTGCGGGCCGAGATGCCGACCATGTTGATAGTGACCGCATCACGATGGTTGAGTTTCACACTTTCGACCGTCGACATCAGCGACTTACACTACGTGCAACCGAGCAAAAGAACACCCACACAATGTAGCCGGTGTGAAACGTAGTTCTTTCTTACGCGTCAGCTACATGCGCGTCCCATCGTGTCTCGGAGTGCATCATTTACGGGCTCGTTGTTGATCTATCGCCGGTCGTGGCCGAGTCGGTTGTGGCGAGTTGTCTGACCATGCTGAGGCAGGTTGAGATTCGTTGCAAGCTCAGAGATCAACTCGCCACTGATGGCAGCCGTGGCGAGCCCACGGCTGCTGCCAGGGGTCCCAGCTGCCCGGGCGCGAAGAGGCCCACTCGCAGGGGGCCTGGGAGCCGCGTGAGTTGCTGCCGAATCAACGTCACTTGTATGACAGAGAGATGTTAACTACCTCGCCTGGTCTACAGGAGATGTTAACTCCCTCGCCTGGTATACAGGAGGCCATGGGTTCGATCCCGACCCTGACGCTTGCTGCTGTCTATTTGGAGTTTGCGTGTCTCTCTCTCTCTCCCCGTGGCCACGTGGACACCGCTGTCCAAACCGTCGTGCTGGAGAATGCTCATGGCCAGCATAGCATCATGCCCATGGGAAACTAAAGACGAGACACAGCTGTGCGATTGTTTAGCACTAGAGTGCAGTGTAGGCTGCACGATTTCGACAGAGGAGGAGGAACAGCGACACGACACGATCTCTCTCTCTGCTGAAGCCCTCTCGTCGTGGCATTTAGCTCACGAGCATATTGCCATCGTGCGCAAGAATAAACCACAACTACAATGTACTAAACGACGTGTGATAAACCCTTGTCACGGCAATCGTGAATAATATTGACTTGGAGTGAAGCCTAGAGCTTTGGTGCATGACATTGAGCATCCTCACGATGTTGTGAACACGCCCAAGCCACAACCGCTGATCTAAGGCATTTTCGGCTTCTCGCCATTCAGCAGAAACGCCCAAACGTAATGAGTCGAACACGTTCGAGTTTCTTGCATCGTAGAAATGTGCCCACATAGCTTGTCATAAGCACTATATAAATTATAAAACACTCAATACAAGGCATGTTACATGCGAGTTGTCGGTGTGTGTCCCATTGTCGGTTGCTTACGTATCTAATTTCACTTATTCAATTGCTCAAACACCTATTGCCTTCACCCAATCAATCGATGTATGTACGACGGGAGGTCGCTCCTTCTCCTCTGCTGCTTCCCCCCGGGAACGTCCGTTCCACCGCTGTGTTTACTCCCCGTTTCCCTTCTCTCCTGCAAGTCTCAGCGCCACGCGTCCAGAAATCTGCACATAGCTAAGCTGGTAAAAGCAGCATGTTTAAAATTGGGGGGTTAAGTTGCCTTCCCATGTTCTGAAGAGGCTAATTATTCATTAGAAACTCAGCAGGTCAGTTTTGATTGTTGGGCAGTGATAGACCATATCTCTGGAGAGTGATAAGTCGATGATTGTAACGTGTTACCTCCTCAGTTTAACACGGAGGCTTTCGCGACCAATATTATTCATAATATAGGTTTTTGGGTCAGATCGTGTTATTTATAAATGTGTCGTAACCCTCCACCACCCGACACGGCCAAACAGTAAAAAAATGTGTCACGTTTTTCAAAAGGCTAAAGAAGTGAATTATTTTGTCCTTTGAAAAACGTGACACACTTTTTTACTGTTTGGCCGTGTCGGGTGGTGGAGGGTTACGACACATTTATAAATAACGCGATCTGACCCAAAAACCTATATTGTTTTACCTCCTCTTAAAAGTCACAGCCAAAGAAGGAGTTCTTGGCAGAAGGATATCAACATTCTCCGGGCACAGACACGAAGCTAAGATCTTGTTCAAAAGCGACCTGGCCACAAATGACAGCTCAAAAAAGTGGCTTATCATGTGGAAATGTATAGCTTGCCAAATAATCTAAAGGCGTGTTTATAAACGTGTAGGGAAAAACCGGAGGACCCGGAGGAAAATCCACACAACCACGGGGAGAGAGACACGCGAACTCCAAATATACAGCAGCAGGCGTCAGGGTTGGGATCGATCCCACGACCTCCTGTAGACCGGGCGAGGGAGTTAACATCTCCGAGCCACCGTGGGACCCCGACACCCGCCCCGGCCACACGAACAACAGACGCCCATGGCGACAAACTCGCGCTCTTCAATACGCGAGAGAGACCTGCCACCACATCCCTTCGCCAAGGCGCACTGACCAGCGTGGTGAAGCATGGTCAAGAGAGCCCTTCATCCAGCAGTGGATTGACAAAGGACTACATAGGCTAACGCCATAGCTTCAGCTTGTTGTGATTTGTGTGTCTCAACTTTTATCCTCAGACAAACATCGGTAGTCTATGATAGGGTGACGATGCCACGATACTTGGGAAGATATCGTTTGTGTTGTGATTATTGTTGATCGTTTCATACTTCACTGATTATATATTATATCCTCACGAAGTGTTTAAAAAAACGCAGATGTGTTGTTCGTCCAATTTTAATGTAATAAAAGATTATTGCTAATTGGTTTATTGTCGGAGCGCTGTGCTGTATAATCGAGGGTGTGTTTCGTGGCTATGTGTCATCATGTCCGTAATTCGTCTCTAATGTCGATGTATCCTGGGCAATTTGTAACCATGAAAGTCGTAGATCGTAAATGCGCAATTGACAGAAGCCTCGTGGCTGGCTGCTGGTGATGTCAACGTGCATCGTTATCCCTGCTGCAAGCTCAGTACAGCGAGAAGGAAAACAGCCGAAACGATACTACATGAAACGGTGGTATTAAATACCCAAAATGATGGGAAACTGGCATTTCAATAGTTGACTAATCAAAAATCAATATCGTATCCTGAAAAATCGCTGCAACCCTCCTTGCTCGTTAGTCAATAATATTTTATAATTCCAGTGCCAAGTGTACACCTGGTGGCGTGTGTGGCCGATGTGCGGTCTGGCGAGTCTGTGACACAGGGCACGCAACGGGACTGGACATGAAGAAGGGCTTCATCGCTCATCAGAGTTTGTCCGGTCTGAGATTCGGATTCTGAAGTAAAATTACAAAACGTTCTGTCGCTGTGGAGATGCAGACGTGCCGTGTGTGTGTACAACCACAGCCTGACATCTCCCCCACATACACCAGTCATATGCTCAGCCCTTGGCCAATCCACTGCTGGATGAAGACCTCCCCAAGCCGCTCACGGGGCTTGTTTGCCATACTTCACCACGCCAGTCAGTGCGGGGTCGCGAAGGGTCCCAGGAGCAATGGAGATGCCACTTGCCCCACCCCCGACATATTGAGTAGGTAATAACGTTGAACATCACAGGTCGCATTAAATATATAACGAGGTTTATGTTTTACTGCCATGGAGATGAAAGGAATATTTCGACATTTTTGACTGAATATCCTTTCTCAGCGAATATAACAATAAATTAAAACACACACACATCGCATGCGTCAATCAACTCGGGTGCACAGGGCAACTGCCCGCCACAAGGTGGGACACCAGTGTTCGAATGCAGGTACACAATGGGTAACTGCAGTCTTACTCAAGAGCACGTAGCTTCATGCAAAGCTTCAAATGCATCGCTTTTGTCCTAAAGGGTGATGTCGACCTGATGATAACAAAACGACGATGTGGACTCAGTCGCTCAACACAGCCAGAGCAGCGCGTTCACACGACGCGAACTGAGAGGACAAAGTGTGAACTGCAGCGATGAGGGTGCTCACTTGGCAGCACCCTCTTCAAAAAGAGTCTTGAGACTCAGCGAGACTCTTGTAGGTAAACAAGCGGTGGAATAATAACAACAACAATAATAACAACACAGAATGTCTCCTGATGCCAGAATCATACTCAGCAGATCGTGTCCCACATATTAAACTCCATGCCCACTTTACAACCATTATATTTCAAATCAGATTTTACAGCCCAAAATAAAACTTTCTCCATATTTAACATTCATTAAGCTACCAGTGGCTTGTAATACCTCGGTGGGGTTTTTTATGTTCTTTTTGCTTTACCGAAAGAATCAATAATATGTTTTATGTTATGTTTTATACATATCGCGTCTGGCAAACACAAATTCCCAGACGAATATCCCGAACACGCAATGCGTTAACCCGATGCACGAATCCGAGTTCGTTGTGGAGGACAAATGGAGACCTACCTGAGAAATGGCCGGTTCCTTGGTTCCTGTGCACCGTGCAGACGTTAAATAATGAGCACTGGCTGCTGCACGAGAGCAGATAACAGAGTTGAGTGTCCACGCGAATGCAGGCGTAGCCCTCTTATATTCGCTCTCAAGCGGCGTCTGTTGTCCTGCGCTCTTGCAAGCGTAATTAGGCCTGCAGGCTATGACCTTAACATAAAAATACCTTTCAAGGTGGGACCACATTCTATCAGCCAAATACTTCGCGAGGGTGGGATGGCAGGCTTGAAGGTAGAAACGTAACACCTCGCCGCACGTAGGTTCGCACTTGCCCCGAGCGACGGAGGCTTTTACGCAACCCTCTGAGGAGCTCGATCCTCTGTCCGGACCGGGAGTTGGTGCGTGCGTGGTTTGTCGTGAAGACAGCGGCTGGAATGTTTGCACGAGGCACAACTCCCGACTGGGGTAGATGACAACACCGTTGTTGATCGTACATTTAACTAAACTCTGTCGTCTTCTTTTATTCTGCTGCTGCTGCTTCGTATGGCTGATGCTGATGTGGAGCAACAGAATGTGATTTTACATTGGGACGGTGGAGCCAGATTTTACATTGTGACGGTGGAGCCAGATGACCGTGTGGGGAGAAGCGGAGTGGCGTGCCGATGCTGCGGCGATGCCCTCTTCGTGTTTTGTGTGAATCGGGCATTGAGTCGTTGACAAGGCGATCTGTTCTGGGTGGTGACCGCAGTCGACGCACACTGACCAGAGAGTTTTTAATTTCTCATTTGTGCATCATCATCATCACCATCGGTATCATCGACTGCTGCTGCCGTGGTGTGTGCAGTGGATGCGGTTCGGGGTTGTGGCCCCAGATGTTTCACGGAAGGTCCAAGTCAGAGATCTTCCCGGTCGGGTCTTTCACGAGGAGGTGTTTGTGGCTTTTTGCCGACTCCAACTTTCCAAACTTCAGCGTCAGCGTTAAAGTTGCATTGTTGAAGGTTAAGCAACGTGGGTCCAAGGCGGCCTAAACTCCATGGTAGTGATTATCGTCGTCGTCGTATCGTGGTCTACTCATACGAGGGGAGGGGAGTCCCATGCTTAACGTCCAAGAAGCAAGCAGAGTGGTACTTTATATTTTCCATAATAGAGGTTTTTTTGGGTTATATCACGTAAATATATAAATGTCGTTAAAACCCGCCACAGCCAACTAGTAAAGTTTGTCACGTAAACAGAACGTGGCCAATTCGTCACTAGTGTATAGTGTAGTGTATAGTAGTGTATAGTGTAGTGTATAGTGTAGTGTATAGTAGTGTAGTGTATAGTAGTGTAGTGTATAGTAGTGTAGTATATAGTGTAGTGTATAGTAGTGTATAGTAGTGTAGTGTATAGTAGTAAAGTGTATAGTGTAGTATACTAGTACAGCACACCGGTGTGTCGGAGAGCCAAGCCACAACATTTACAATCTGAGCACGACCTTTCGCCAGTAATTACAACTAGCTTCATCAGGCAACAGCCAGATTTGTGGAGAAGTCCACCTGTTTTGTTCCTTACTAAGAGGCGTGGTAGATGTGGTGACAATATTTGTGCCCTCTTCTTGTGCAGAGTGGGGGGGGGGGGGGATTATATTTCACTTCCTAAATCGTTGAAAAAACGCGTTTGTTAAGATGTAAACGAAACGGAGTGGTTTCAGTGAGCCAACATGAGTCCCTCTGCTCTCATCGTCATTGCTGGCTTAGCCTCCTGGCACGGCTGAGCCAGCTCGATCTGCGTGAGCGGTGCACAAGTGCGATTAACAGCAAGGAAAAACGCAACACATTTGACAATAACACTGTGGTCTGAAAATCAAAAATGCTGAAGAGGCAGCGACGTTTCGGACAATAGGCCGTCTTCACAGCACGTCAATGCGCTATGGATGACTGAAGAATCTTCTTATCATCTCTAGATGTATATAGCATCGCCTTATTCCAAGGCGTTTTACAGCAATTATAAAGTTGTATCCTTGTAATGATAGTGGTTGAGATGAAGAGGAGTGGAGTTATTCCTGTTAAAATTAGCGGCGTCGTCGTGCCGTGTTGGTGCTGTGCTTCGGACCCGGCGACCCGAGATCGATTCCTTCTCGTGGCCAACACCGGCGACGATGATCTCCACCTGTCCTGGGCCTCCCCTAGGTCGACTCAGCCTCATATGAGTACCTGGTGCAATGTGCAAATATTGTCACTCGGGAGACAAAGGTGGCCGGGCGTGGTTCTGGCCACCCACCCCCTCGTGTGCCGTGCCGGCCTTCGTAGGTGCTGATCATACTCGCTAACAGCACTTGCCCCAACAGTCTTGTGAAGGCTACGCGGGGGATCTTTGTCTTTGTACTGAAGGCCAGTGGCTCCAGCTGTGGCTGGCGGTATATCCCGAGGCTATTCCCCGACGTCTTCAGATGGAGTCCACGAGGCCTCTGGAAATATTCCCGACTACATTCTCAGATAAGGAAACCCTTACACGTTACGCCTCGTAAGGTGTTTCATATTTTAAAGTCGTGGTTAAAGCGATCCAATGAGACAAATTCAACATCAACAGCGGTGATCCTGCCGACTGTCCGCACCCCCAAGAGTGGTGATGGTTGTTCCTCATCGCCCCTCGTCATTCGTGACCCAATTCCCATGTTCAGGAACCGTAAGAGAGTGGAGAGCGTCACTTGAACACCCCGGGATCTATTCAACTTTCAATCCTCCTACAAGATGCTCTCTTCGCTTTAAATAGCTGGCAATTTCAGCAAATAATAACCTGGTAAAACATAACAACTATTTTATTGCTTTCGATCCTTAGAGGAAACTACTATTTTTAATTCGGGCTATATATACACAGACACACGCACACACGTGTTTCTGTACTCATGTAGCCATAGCAACCACAGTCGTCAGCCCCACATTTCTGGTATCCAAGCCGAGCCAGTTGTGTCGAACGAATTAAACTTTTTTTTTATTGTTGAAGTGCTTTCAGGTTTTTCTTAAAACGTGGTAAAAGATATGTCCGTAGCTAAACAAATCATAGGGCCATGGCTGATGATAGGTACATTCATAATTACATTGCCAGCATAATCGTGTTTGGGTCATATCAATTGGTATATAAAGTATTGTGTATGGTATATAAAGTATTGTGTATGGTATATAAAGTATTGTTACTTCATTTATTTTAACACTGGCATTAAAACATTTTAATTGTTTATTAAGATAATATTTGATCTATTATCAATATTAATAGCTGTCTTCTGTACTAATGATGAACTTGTTCAATTCGTTTAAATGTATGCTATATAAGGCAGCTGTGATCTTGAAAAAAACGTCCTACATTAATTTCGCAAGATTATTCATGCATCAATGAGTGTGGAAGTCAGTTTGAACATTTGTTAAAATAAATGAAATAGCCATGTGTCCTGACTTTTGGGCGATGTGTAATGTTTATACAGTACGTATAATATCAAACACAGTAATTTAAAAGTTACATCACTTTGTCAATCCAAATTCGTATTCATTTCTTTCCGTGCTGTATCGACCAGGGTTAGGGAGGTGCGTTGCACATCGGTCCACACACAGTCCAGTGCCTCTTGGTGAGCGGACCGGTTCAGGTATTGCTCACCAACGATGTCACTCCTCATCGCCAACAATTGAAGTCACATGGGTCCCACCAACTTAAACTAAACCATTTTTTTTGTTATTCTACCAGGTAATGCTCACCACTGAGCTATTTCTCTAGATCTTTTTCAGAAGCCTCCTGGCCACAAATGATAGCTCGACAGAGTGGCTTATCACGTGGACATGTACAGCAGCCAAATGCTCTCGACGAATGTTTCTAAATGTGGAGGGAAAACCCCTGGGGGGCTCGGAGGAAAATCCACTCGAGCACAGGAAGAGAAACACGTGCAAACTCCAAAAATACAGCAGCAGGCGTCAGGGTCGGGATCGAACCCACGATCTCCCGTGTACCAGGCGAGGTAGTTAACATCTCCTAGCCACCGTGACTCCTTACTTTGCCTAAGGTACACCAGAACATGTTCACAATTATGAAGATTCAGCCAATGCTGAAGCCACTCATCCCTATCTGTTATTCAAGTTACGACGGAGGAGTGATTTACAGTTTTATGCAAAATTATGGAATGTTTCGCTGTTAGCATTTACATTACTAACACCGGCTAAACAGTTTTATTAAAAGTTACAAAAGTTAACTTGTACAAAACAACGTATAAGATGAGAAATTAAAAACAGGTTGAGTATGTTAGCATGTGATAAAAGTGTGTAATATTCCATATGTATTTTCACTTTTCCCAATATATTATTGGCGTGCGCTCTGATCTTGCTGAAAGCCAATATCTATCGTCATGATAATTTGCCCCATTGTTGAGATGAACACATCAACGCATCCAATAGTCGATTGACACTTGCCATCATGTGATTCGGGACGCGTATTTGAACCGTAGATGAATCCCAGGCTCCCCTCGCTTTGCGCGGTAGGAGTTGTAGTAGATGCGGTACAAAACAAAATGGCGCACGACGCCAAACCACACGAGACAGCTGCCTGCCGAGTAGCGCGCATAGTAAAGTACACACACAGTACAGTACACACGGTACAGTACACACAGTACAGTACACACAGTACAGTATACACAGTACACACACAGTACAGTACACATAGTACAGTACACACGGTACAGTACACATAGTACAGTACACACAGTGCACACACAGTACAGTATACACACATAGTACAGTACACACACATATTACAGTACACACACATAGTAAGTACACACGGTACAGTACACACAGTACAGTACACACAGTACAGTATCCACCCATAGTACAGTACACAAACATAGTACAGTACACACGGTACACACACAGTACACACACACTATTTTACATAGTATAGTAAACAAGGTACTCACACAGTACACACAGTACACACACAATTGTACATAGTACAGTACGCACAGTACTCACACAGTACGCACACAATTGCGGTTTGAATTCAGGAATGAATGAAATAATTCAAACCGCATGAATTCATTAATGAATTCAAACCGTAATTAGCCGGATTTGGGTAAACATACGTGAGCGGTTTCTATGCGAAATCTGACATTCCCAACCAGTTTAAAGCGAGTGAAACCTGTAATTCCATGAAGATGACTTCCCATCCACTTAAGTTGACCGGATGAACCCGTCTGGAAGATTCTCCGTTGTCCGACAAGGCAACTGTTCCTGGTGTTAGAGCGGCGTGGGGAGTCCATGGGGATCAAGGGTGCCTTGAGGTCGTGGGAAAGACACCCAAAGTTAAACACGCACGCGATGTGGTCACACACACACGTGCTTCATAATGCAAATGGCTGTTGTGATATACAACGCCCTAAATTGTATGACAACTCCAAACATTACACATCGCCAGACACATTTAAGATCAAATGAGATCACATTCAGACAACGCTCTACAAAAGGAGACCGGTTACAATTAATAAGGCTATATTAAACATTTAGTTGTACGCACTGTGCTCCAAAGACAAATAATATAGAAGCAGAGAAACAGGTTACAACTTAAGGTGCAGATAAAAGCCACAACCATGAATCAAATAAATAGAAAAAAAACTGGTTTTAATTACACATAGTGGACGTTTCCAAGGCTCCGTATTATAATACCGTCGAAAAGAAACCCCTCAGACAACAGAGCTTTTATCATATATCAAATAATAATTAAATAACTCGCTAAAAATACTAAATACTAAAGAACACTGTAATCTATCACACCAAGGTTGTTAGTCTCGGAGTAAATGTTACACCTTGCCTGTGTTGTAAGATGTATATATGTAACGTTAATACGTGCCAAACTTAAAAGAGTGTGACCAAAATGTGTCTTGGTGTTTGGCAATGTTTGGTGTTGCATCTCGGGCTGCGAGCTCCTGTGCACTTCCCATTGCCGCCTCGTGCCTCCTCCTGCGTGGCCCTTTAAAGGGCGACCGTTGCAGGTTCCCTTCTCACGGAGTTCACTTCAGTCGCCCTGTCTGAGAGTTGGTGATTCACTCACTCGCCCGCCGCCTCCCCCTGTGTGTGTGGGAATTGCGACGTTTCGCGGTCCGTCGTTTGGAGTTCACAGCCGCAGCGGAGTCGCCGTCCCCGCGCGTGTGCACAGCGCGACCCGCTGCCCCTGTGACCTCGGGGTCACCTCCTGCCCATTGTGTCCACGAGACATGGGAGCCAGGCGGTGCGTGGTGACGGGGATCGCGGGTCACGAGTTTGCTGTGCACGTTGCACGGATCTCACCGGGTTGGTCCACGCCGTTTAGACTCTGAGATCCGCGTCTTGCGAGGGTTGTTGTGCGTGGCTCCAAAAACGGATTTCTGAATTTCATCCGAGGGCGTGGGACCGTGGTCCGATCGTCGTTGATTGTCAGATTTGGATCGACTTCTCGTCGCCTTTCGTCGCCGCGTGTGGCACACTGGTCCACGCCATGGCAGTGGAGCAAGTCGCTGTTTTCACCTCGTGGTGCTCATACATTTGATGAGCATTTGCCACCACATGAATCAGAAGCGCATGCGATTCGTTTCATGGATCACAGCCTGCTCTCAGGAGATGGGCTATGAGGGCAGGGAGATAGATGACTCTGCTCAGTGGTAGATTTAGTGTTCGTCATCACACAAAGTAAGCTGCACAGCAAACACTTACATCACAAGCAGCCCGAACAACGTGCATGTCACACACACACTGCATGAACCCTGAGGCTACTGCAACATGTAATTTTCAATGTCCAAAGGGGAAAAAACTGTTGTTAAATTTAGCCCAACGATGAATCATCATATCTTATGAGCATAATTTTACAGTTGTTAATTTCACCGTATAAATAATAAAATAGTGGCGGCGGATACGTGCTGCGCGTTAAGCTGAGATATCGCCATCGCCACCGCATGTCTGTCGCGTGAACTTCTTTCGCACAGTACGTAGCGGGGGAAGGACAACACGCCAAAGGGTTCCCATCATTCGCTTGCCATGCACCCCGACCCGCACCAACTCCCGGACCCCGACCAGAAAACACTGCCTGTAACTTACATCTTTTACCGTCTACATTCGCTACGTGATCCTGTCCACGCTGGCGATTGCCCCGTGACACAGCCGATCTCACTGCGCGCAAAGACCACGTGTCTCTGTGACTTCCTCAAGCACAGCACCCTCACACTTTCATATCGAGTCATTATTATAATTTTACAAATTACGCCTACGCGATATAACCCCCCCCCCTTCCTCCCCATCGAATTATGAAACCACAGCCCGATGTAAACGACTCCAAAACGTTGTGCCAGGTAGCGAAAACGGTGTCGCAGGTGCGGCCGCGCCGTGCGGGTGGTGGCGGGGTCGCCCCGGCGCACGTGCTCGCTGTGACGTCACCAGTCGACGTGCGTCGACGCATCCGCTGCGTCACGGCTGGTGGTGTTCGGGTGGCATTTCTCTATTTTTGAAACAAACAAACAAAAATGTGACGCTCGCACATTTTTTGAGTAACTTAAAAAGGATTTGAAGAATCCATATTTATGGCCTCGACCCCTATATTCGTCGAGAGCGCTTCTCCAATAATTATTTTAAAATGAGAATGGAGCACATTAAGTGTATTAAGATAATTATTATTTTATTAAAATGCGAATTTAACCCAGGAATGATTCACAAGTGAATTGTGTATAATAATAATGTCATCTTGTTATGTGCTGCACACGAGTCGCTGCTCGCTCTCCAAGAGAGGGGACGACTCAGAGGCGGTCCTCGATATAAAACTAAACTATGTGTATTTTACCAGCTATATAGCCCACTGAGATATAGCTCCTTTTTCAGAAGCGACTTTGCTACAAATGATAGCTGAACGGAGTGGCTTATCACATGGACACGCATAGTAAGCCAAATACTCTAAACACACGTTGATTCTGAATGTGGAGGGAAAAACCGGAGGATCTGGAGAAAAATCCACGCGACCACAGGGAGAGCGTGCAGACTCCAGATATACAGTAGCAGGCGTCAGGGTCGAACCCACGACTTCCTGTATACCAGGAAAGATAGTTGACGTCTTACCACCTTATTAAGGTGTTATCAGCCAATTCATTAGTGTGTATACCACTGACCAGGCTGTATCGCCTTATATATATAGTTTTTAAGTCGTCTGTGTCATCATACAACACTCGAATTCAACTACCGCAGCACTGTGATTGAGATGAACGAGTAATGGTGGAGTGCTGCCTTGCCCTGCATGGCGGAACGTATCAAACTCAGCTGAAGCGTTTCATTTGAAACGGAATTATTTTTTGGGTAAGGCCACCTAATGATCTGGCTAAATTTGTGTCACGAATCCCTGCACCACCCGACCGACATAGCCGAACATTGACTGCCACGTGTAAAAGCGTACATAGCACCAGGTAAGTTGAACACAGATGTCAACCCACACGGTTCACCCCGTATTCTTGTACAGGGAAATTGAGTTCAGGTCCTTACGGCGTACGGCCGTTTCAATGTGGGCAACAAAACCTCTTCTATGTGTTTCTCCCTATTGATGGGCACTTGTAGGATGAACCTTGATATTTATAAGGGGCACGGGGTGACCAATAGGCTCTGAGTTGGTCTGTGATTGGGTAAGGGGTTGACAGCGATCCTCGCCAGTAAATGTCGTGCAGTGCGGCGGCGCCGCCGTGCTCGAGACCAAAACAAGATTCCTTTTCTGTTAGAATTCTATAAAAAAAAACAACTCAATACTTTCACGAGCCGCAGTGCGCTGTGTGGTGACTCCGAGAGGGTGGTGGTCATCACCGAACAGCGTCATGAAGCAGTCCAACAAGACCCCCCCCCCCACCGCATCGCGTTCTGGAGCTGGAGGTTGCCGCACCCTGCTCTGGCGTAACATTGGCCCACGGCTGCAACACAAGTAACTATTAAATGATTGTTTTTGAAGTGAAACAAATATAATTTGAACCCACGACCGCTTGAACTGCCGCCGCCTTGTGGCGAGAGTTGAGTTTTGCACAGCGCGCTCAGCCTCGGGGCGGGCCGAGAAATTGTCACCAAGCGCCACCTGCTGCTTGCAAAACCTGCGGCGTTGGGCGACACCTCGCAAAGTCTCGCCACGTGCTGCGGCGCCGTCACCGCGTGGGGCGCCGTCACTAACCACTTGTGTCGCCACTCGGGGCTCATCCCGGATTCCTCCCATCTCAGTATACTGATGGTAACATTCTAGATTCGAAGCTTTCGTGACTACGAAAAAACCAAAGGGTATGATGGTAACATGTTACTCAGGCGAACCCGGGGGTCCTTCACTCCCCTATCCCCTGCACTGTGGTGGATCAGCCCGTGTGCCTGAGGCCAACGCCAGCGTTCGCTGTGGGACACCGAATCCGACTGGGTGTGCGGAGACTCCGGGGAACCTCCATCGCAGCCCGGAGTGGAGCCGAAGGTCCCCCCCGGAGTCTTTGAGGCCGGCTCCGTGGGGCGTGGAGGCACCCCGCGCCTGTGTCGAGCACCCTGGAGCCTGCTGTGTGGACCGTACGTGGTGGGTGTAGGGTCTGGTGACGAAACGACGGCGTTGATCCCTCCGACATGGACACGTCCGTGGTTTCCTTCCACTGCCTTGGTTGTAGCACCCAAACAAAGAGAGACCATCCCACCGCCGGTGATCGGCTGCCTTAATTTTAAGTTCCGATTAGAGCGACCTGGGCCCTGTCCCGACGTCACCCGGTGTCTACACACTGGAGATGTTGGTCAACGTGCCTCTTAGTAGATGTAAGTTTGTTGTTGGTTAGTCTTGACCCTGCGACACCCTCTTCTGCCTTTTGATTTGCTATTGATAATAAATATTGCTTTATCGTGCAGTCTTCCAATTATACGTATTCCCATCTTAGGATCTACATATATATTTTAAATCAATGCAAAGCATAGTTGGCAAAAGGAAAAGGTGTGCATTTAATCAGCACACACGTGAAAGCCACCCTACATCCCTGTAAATCTGTTCAAAACTATTAAAGCAAACGAATTCAAAAACAAGTAACACAAAACCTTTTCAACACGGTCACAGCACCACCATCCACACCAGTACTGCAGCTGAGCAGTTACTTTGCACAGCTTCCGTGGACAATGTACAATTCAAGTGCACCCTATGCCATTACCAAAAAACAAATGTTTTATATCTAAAAAAAATAGTTGTTGAATTTATAACAAATATGCCAAGGTGAGCTTCATGTAGTATTCATCTAGCCAGAGGACGGTAGCAGAATAACTTCGGGGGAATTTTTCCCTTCGTTCTCGATCGACATTGTGGTGATAAACCAAGCGGGGGGGGGGGGGGGTGCAACTCGAGGTGTTATACAACTGGCCACTGTGCAACTCTCGTGGGCTTTAATCCCAGGTGTTTTTTGTGGCTATTTGTGAAGTATGGTGCGCAGATTCGCATACAATTGCGTGTTTTATCTATTCAAATTATAACATTTAAACCCCAAATTGGCAAAACTCCACAAGCAAAGAGTTTGAGATCGAGAGGGAGATGCCGGCAATAATAATAAGAGTGCAGCGTACGTCTTTGACACGCAGTTGTACTGACAGACGCGTTGCGATTCACAATTTTGGCCCGAAATCTGCCAAGACAGTGGCAATTCAGTCGTGATGGAATTACTCAAAGCGTGGAAATGAGAAGTTAATTAAATAATGTCTTCCAAAGCTGTTTACACCTCCAAAACTCTCACTTCACGACATTTCAAAGCTCTCATCATGCTCCCAGTATTTAGGCTGCACGTGGGCATGATTTGTAAATCTGCACCACCAAATAATCCCAGACAACGCAAAAGTGTTCATGTAACTTGTAAATGTAAAACATGTCGTGTGATTTTTTGTTAAGAATCATTGCTTTTCTTGAAGAGCGTTACAACCACAGACTTCCTTTTCTACTTGTTAATTTAAGCAAGATCACAAATATTAGTGCTATGTCTTCTTGGTTCTTTCGGTAAAGTCACGTAGAAGGGAAATAATAAAATAAAACCAATAAAATAATTCTCACGTTTTGGCCACAACGCAAGCAGCCATCCCTCAGGTGAAGAACAGGGCTGTCGGAAAGACGCTTATTTTATTATTTCCCTTCTACGTGACTTTACCGAAAGAACCAAGAGAAGATGAATCCCTGCAGTCACGAAAGCTTTAAATCGAAAATTAGTGCTATGCTTTTGCTGGGAAAGGACATCCTAGATATGTTTTTTTCTAAACCAATGCCATAGAAAACAACCGCATCAGGAAATAAACCCGATACACTTTAACAGCAACAAAAATCGGCGATAACGAACCACATTGTATGAGAACGTGCGGTTGTGTAATCTGCAGTGTGTCACGGTGCTTTTCACAACTTAAAATTCAGCATGAGCTGTGAGATGTAGACGTCGTTGTCCTGCGACGTGTCGATGAGGTCGACGCAGGCCTTCCTCTCCAACGGCTTGCTCGGGTTCTCATCGGTCGCCATGAAAAGCGCCCACATACTCTTTCCCTTCACTTGCTTGACGAAGAAAGTCGCTGCCTCCACAGACCACTCGTGCTCGGAGACAGTACCTTGGGAGATATACGCACGGTCAAGATGTACATTCACAGTTACATCAGAGCGAATGTCCTGGCTCAAGTGGGCATCGAGGCATTGGTGCTCTCATCTCCCGTTCACAGCCCCAAGACCCACGAGTGGAAATTCAACCTTTCATAAGGTGGGGGGGGGGCTAAGTCTATTGACAGGACCACCACTGTTGACTTCCCCACAAAGTGGTCCTTATTTTAGTGACAATGGAGGGATGATGGGTCAAGTCAATCCCCAAATGGGATTTGAACTTATGACCATTCGATTGCGAGCCGCTGGCTCTGCCACCCGATTGGTGTTTGCTCCAATGACCATTTCAATTGCAGAGTTTATATTGTCTCAATCTCATCCCTACACTCCCAAGACATCTATCCACTTCAAAAGATTCCTTTGCATATGCACCATGACTGATGGTACTTTATCATCATATATATATTTTTGGTATTTTAAAATGCTAAATTATACGAACTGAAGATTTTTTGAGGCACACGACTGGAAATCATGTGCGAGACATTATTGTATGCTGACCAACGAAACGGGTTCCCACCAAAAAGGCAACGGGGAAAACAAATGCCATCGATGACTCCAGTTCAACTCACCAAACAACTCGGCGCACACTCCCTGGATGGGAAGGGCTCTGAAGGTTAAGGGAAGAGGCAGAAGTCTGTCCAGCAGCACCAAACTGTACTCCCCGTAGTCCAGCTGGTAGACGGTGGCCATTCCACTCATCACACCCTTCACCACAACTCTGTAGAATCTGTCAGGTAACAACAAGCAAGCGATGAATGGGAAGGCACGGCACGAGTCGTACAACATTGAGATCAAGTCACATTTTCAAAAACGTATTTGCTCCAGTTCCAAATCCATCACTATCAGCGGCCCTGGGTCAATCTCCTACTGCTAAGGGGATGGGTAGTGGGGGATGAGTGCTGGGGAGCAGAATACCATCAGACCATAAATACTATAGTACATACATACAATACTATAAATAGTGTACTGACAAGTATCTTTTTTATTGTTTTGGTCTATTCACCAATGCCTATACTCTCCACACACTCTATAGAACACAGGCATGTGTACATGGAATACATTTGGTAATGTTTTTTTAGGTTTTAATTAGAATTGCGGCTAGCCGGACTTTCCAGCTCGCTGCGCCAGGCCTGCCCCCCCCCCCCTGTGAGTGCGGCTTGCAGAGGCTCCACTCTGCCGCAAACACAGCCCCCCATTTGTATTGCGAGGTGCGGTTGGAATTTTTTAAGCACTACTACTTGTCATTGGCTCATTACACTTTAAAATCGTACCGAGAATTGTCAATCTTTATTACGTTAAATTTGTGGATACATTTTTGTGTCGAATACAATTTCACTTCATCAGCGAGTGCACATTGTAATGAGATTGGTCGCGATGAGTTTCTTTCAGGTGGTGCGCCAACACCGACGTTTAGTTCCCTGCATTGATATTTTACAACAAACCTTCAACTTAGACTTAAAACTTTCGTGACTGCAGGAATTCATATTCTTGGTTCTTTCGGTAAAATAACTTAGATAGAAAACAAAAAATCTTAAATAAAAACAACACAAGAGGAATTCATTAGGCGCCTGATGAAGACGGCTTGTGTTGTGATCGAAACGTCGTAGATTTTTTGCTTTTATTTTAGATTTTTTGTTTTATATCTGCGTGACTTTACCAAAAGAACCAATAATATAAACCTTCAACTCTTGAACATTTTCTGATTAAAACGCTCCAAAATGTAAAAATCCCAGAGGAACTTCTTACGAGCACATTCCCTCACCTGTCATCTTCAAACTTGGAGGCGTAAATCTTGCCGACCTGGACGCCGGTTGCAGGCAGAGGTGATTTACTGCGGTAATGCTGCTCCATTTCGTGCATCAAGCTGTCCAGCAAGGGCATCTCCTGGTAGAGTTGCACGACAAACTGGCTTGGTAGGTGGGCGGCGGAGACGAAAACTTGCTTCATCTTACCGAGCGGCAACGCGTGCAGCGGCGGCACCACCTCCTGCTGCTGCTGCTGCTGATTCTGCGGTGGTGCAGCCAGCACGGGGGACAAGGAGCTTTCCCGCAGTTGAAAAGGCCTCGGCACTTTGGTGCCGCCGAAATTGAACTTGTGAAAAGCCGACGGCTCCCCGGGGTACGGCGGCGATGACGCTGCGGCATCGTTGCCGTTCCTGCCAGCGGTGCACCGCTGCTCAAACGACTCAGGGGTTTCGCTTGAGCCGACCGGTGTGCTGGCTTCCACATTAAACCTCGTGTGAAGCGCTCTGGAGATGACGGTGTAGTTCACGGTTTCTTCCCAGTGTTTTCCATCGTTGAAAAATAAGTAGATGTTTGAGACAGAGCAGTCTATAGAAAGAACCTGAAAAACAAACAAAAAAACGGCTCCTTAAAGTCGTCGAGAATATTTTAAGTTGAATGCATTAGAGCCAGTATGATGAATTGAATGCTCAACTACTTATTTGGGAAGCACAATTTCAATGTAAGGAACCACTCTGATATAGGGGATAGACATTGTGACTGGGTTATAGGGGATAGATATCGTGACTGGGATATAGGGGATAGACATTGTGACTGGGTTATAGGGGATAGATATCGTGACTGGGATATAGGGGATAGACATTGTGACTGGGTTATAGGGGATAGACATCGTGACTGGGCTATGAAATCGTGTGGATAAAGCTTTAGGACAACAAACGCTCCCACCCATATAGCAGATGTGAGGCCTCCATAAATAGAAAACGTTTTAGGGGACACAATGCTAAAGGCTCACAGGGAGGGTAGAAAAATTCCTTCCGAACCAAATGGAGGTTGCATGGAGCTGCCTGTGCGTGAACTGGGGTTGACTTACCTACTGCATTCAGCAGACACCACCAGATTAATCATCTCCGAGGCCATGGGCATCCCCCGTTAACCTCATCCTCTGCCTCAAGCCTCCTCGATCGCTCGCTCTACTAATCAACGCCACTGAATCTGAGTTACCACGACTTCCTTCCTAAGTAAGCAGCAACCTAGCGGGAGATGCTACCACATTGGCATCGGCGAGTCGATGAGTGGATGGTAATACTCAAGGACAGAGAGATAAGGGGTAGCGATAGACAGATAGGGAGTGCAAGTTAATACTCAAGGACCTATGGCCTACAACCATTTGCAGTTGGCTCCTATTGCCGGGCTAATCGCAACATTCCTAGGGACAATAACAGGGTTTTTCCCCTTTTTTCTGGCAACAAAACGGAATCCTTTAAACAATGATTCATGTCTGCATTAACACAATACTTGCAGTCAAAATGCAAACAAAAACACACTATGATAATAAATGCATTGTCCTTGAAACTGATTGGTCCACACCAAGGGACGGCTTTCTTTTGAGCCTCGACCTAATTGGTGCTCGACCAGAGGACGCCAAAAGGCGTACAGCTCAAAGACAATGCACTATCAAAGTAATGAAAGTCGTCCTTTACTGCTAACTCTACCTCCTCCCTTTGTTGCTGCTAATCCTACAATGCACGAGCATAATATGACTTTGAGACCCCCCTCACCTCCTACGCATTCCACAAGTAGTGACTAATCCCATATCTGCATTTTCCATAAATATGCTAAATTGCTCTGTTTATATGCAAATTCCTTTGTCAAGGCGCCCTCCCTCCCTCCCCTAACCTAGCCTAAATATACGCTGTCAAGCTTGGTGGTGTTCATTCAGATGCTGTCTTTCCAACAGACCTGTTCTTCACTTGAGGACGGCTGCTTGCATTGTGGCTGAAACGTCGTGAGAATTGTATTTTATTATGTTTTACTTTTATTATTTCCCTTCCATGTGATATTATCATAGTGTTTTTTTGTTTGCATTTTGACTACAAGTCTTGTGGTTAATGCAGACATGAATCCTTGTAAAAAGGTTTCAGTTTTGTTGCAAAAAAAAAGGTGAAAAACCCTATTATTATATTTTGGTACTGGCAAAGGAGGTCTAATGATTCCTAGGGACCTTGGGCAATTCCAAGGAGGGAGGAGGTTTGGGTCTGTCAAGCTTGGTTTGGGTGTTTCTGATGGAGGCTGCCCTCACTCCTGGCCTGTATTTCTCTGCCACTCTGAATGTCTGGAGCAGGCATTGCCCACGTTGTTGAGATGTCCCCCCCCCCTTTGAGGAATGAACGAGAGGACGACTGGACGAGTGTTGCAATGTAAAATTATCCCCACTGGTTCAGGGGTATAAATGAAATGAGTACAACTCCACACTCGTACGTTGGATTTCTTTGGCACCGCACGTAGCCAATCGCGTTAATCGGGGACGACTGTTTTCCAGCACCATGGCCCAACAACACAGCTAGTGAGTGACCGTCTCACCTTCACACCCCAGCAGTGTCGTTCTGCCACGCAGCTTCGCAACCAGTGCAGAACCTGCCCCGTCAATTTGATGTGCTGCTCCATGCCAGGACTGGCCAGTCTGCACTTCACAACCTTCGTGAAACATCACTTGTGATCAGTGAGCGCACAACCCCCTTCTCTTCTTGAATAACAAACATCAGTCAAACGGCAAGCAATAAGTCATGTAATTCGAGATGGATGTCGACTGTTACCCACGTGCTGTCAAGACTTTTACTGCATTTTAAATCATTTCTGGCCAGGAAGCAATGGACGAGCAATATGCATCCATCCGAAACTAGAACACTTGCACCTAGTCATTGCATTTTTATACTTGCCTGCATTAAAAAGAATTACACTATGGATCAGTTTCAGACAAGGACAGGACGAGCATTTCCTACCTGTGCAGGGATCTCCACCAAGTCCTTGATGTGTTGTGCACCGATTTCTAAGAGGCTTGAACTCTCGACCAGTGCTCTTTTACCGTAATCGGTGAGGTAAACCTCCGCAATGCGTTGACCTTGAACACGCAAAATCTACAAGCATGCAAACATCTTTGTTGGGGTTCAGTATGTTTCTCGTGCACAATCTAAATAACACTTCAATATATGGCACTACTTATGTTGTACAACAATAACATAAAATAGTTACCCAAACTATTTTCCACAAAAAGTTTAAGAAACCAATTACATTCTTAAAAGCAAATGGTTTTAAAAAGATGCAACTGTAAAAAAAGTGATTTACTTCATGAACTTTAATACATATTATCCAAGGATCGTAATGCAATTGATTATATTATATTATGTGAACATAGAATCCACACCTGAGCTCTTAAATTCCAGCACTTGTGACCAAAATGCAGTAAGTCACAAGAGACGATTACGGAGGGTCTCACAACAACCACCACCGTCATTCACCACTAAGTGGCGGTGACTTCACGACGGCACTTGTGCCAGGCTAGGTGCAATTTGAGGCCATGTGAAATGTCGAAGGCCCGCTGTTGGCAGGAGGTCATAAGACAGACCCAGGTGCGCCATGGATTGACTGAGATGACTGGCAGATGCACAACCTGTGCTCCCGATTGTGCCACAATGAACACAGCACAAGACAACCCACGTTATCACCCGCTTCTCGGTGTAACGTGGGTTGTGTGTCTTGTGCTGTGAACTTGTAGTGGGCAACGTGGGTTGTGCGAGGGAGCCTCTCTCAGGCTCCCTTTTGCTATCAACGTGGACAGATTTGCAACAAGAGCAGGAGGATAGAACGTATCGCCGTGTCAGAAAGCGCCTGCAGTCTCCACTTGGACGTTCCCGTGGCTACATCTGTTGTCGCACAGGGCAGCCGCCGTGCGCGGGTTGTGACGACGTCGTGACGCCACGCACGACAGGGGGGATGAGGGGGGGGCATGCGGCTCAGCCGCCAGCTCGGGCACCAATCCCCTTCTTCAGGAACGTGTTTAGGAAAGGAAGTGCAACGTGTGGGGGTTTGACAACACGGGGGAGAGCAGCCCGAGGTGGAGAGCCGCCGCAGCAGCAGCAGCAGCGCGAGTGGTGGAGTAAGCGCGCTCTCACCTCCGCACGCACCAGCGGCCTCCCCTCCACGTGTTGGACGAGGCACCGCATGCCACTGAAAAGGTGGGGCATGGGCTCCAGGCATGCCACCTCCTGACAGGAGAACATTTACTTGCAAATTACATACACTGCATGATCGCGCACACCGCGCGAGAGATTTAGCGCTCGTATGTATGCGTGTTAGGGTACCAGGGCTACATAAACGTGTTTACTATCCTTGTGCCAATATAAACCCTGGACACCCTTGTTCTATCAAGTGATTTTCCAGGTGAATATCTTAAAATGGTGGCTTGAGAAGAGCCGGCAGGAAGGACGTTACACCACGTGGTACACAAAGTAAGATCCTCACCTTTTCAATCTCTGAAAGGATTTTGTCCACTTTTTTGACAACATTTGTCTTCATTTGGCAGAAGAAAAAACCATCACTGGTCACGTGCTGAATGTAGACGTTTCTATAAGTCACGTTTACCTGAAAGAGAAATTGACTATCGGAAATTTCTTAACTGAGGGTTTAATAACTTAAAATGTATTTTCCAATGTTAACTGTGAACCACAAGTCCAAAAAACAATACAGGAACTGAAACTCAGATTCAAGTTTTTCTACTGAAGTTATCCAACCAGCAAATTGTTGCGTGCAACATTCACACGAGTAATTAACTTGGGTAATGTGGAATATAAATGTAATCATGACACCCTTAAATAAGGATAACCCTGCGAGCATTTCCCAGCGCGCTCCGACACAGCTACACGTTGTCCTGCTGCCCTCTACTTTGATACGAGTTATGTCCATCACTGTGAGCGCAAGATCACGGACAGGTTGTCTCATTCACTGCCGTTAAGACAACTGCATTTGGTCAAAATGCAGCGAAAAACATCTACCGTTCTTAAAACCCGACTCGATTACGTCGACGAAAGTCCAACTGTACATTGCTACGGATTAAATGTGTCGCACGACGTGCGAGTGAAGTAACGTCCCGCACAGAGGCCCGACGGGCATTTTAAAAGAGGACGTTACCACCAACCTCGGGCTGCAGGGCAAGTCGCCGGTCCTCGAGAGCTCTCAAACAGGCGGCGTTGATGTTCGCCCCAGAAGGGTCGAACAGAACCACCAGGGCTTGGGGGATCTTCTTCACAAGTTTCAAGTGCAGGATGTGGTCATGAGCCATCGAGCAAAGGCAATTGAGGACCGCCTTGTCCCTGCAAAAGTATTCCAAGCCTAGCAAACCAACAAAGACAAATGTCAAGTCGGTGAAGTGGCGGCGGTGGGTGCTCATCTCATTTTTATATCCCTGGTGGTGGAAATTCCACATTCCTATGGCGAGGAGGGAGGAGCACAGTCCATCCATAATACAACCACTGTTGACCTCCTCACAAAGTGATTAACAGTCCATCATTCCTCACAACCTTCCCATTGCGAGCCGCTTGCTCTGTCCGCTGAGCCACCCGTGTCTGGATAAAGGTTAGGTACATTTTTTGCGGCATATAAACGCCACTTTAACAGCACCCGAAACGTATCTAAACACAGCCCACACTCACCACCTTTGTTTACATCCTAATTGTAGCCAGTCACCGTAAACACTTACCATTGATACCGACATGTCTTTGTAATCTTTTGAACAAAAATACAACAATATCCCGGTGGTTTACGTTGTGGAGGATGCCTTGCTGAAAGGTGTGACGACGAATATTGAAACGTCAATAAAAGCAATTTTAGTCTGCACGCCACAAGAGCTCAAAGACAACGGAGGCTACGGTGAAGATGTGTTAAGGCGTGCACCTTCATACCAGGACGTACCCACGTTACATTACTAAAAATATTGTACTCACTCATGTACAGAAATAACATTTTACACAACTTATACAGGGTACAATAAGATACAGTACATGCTATAAAATTACAAAAACACTATAGGTAAAAAAATGCATTGTACTCGACAGTACATTTCTTCATGTGCGACGTAACGTCGTTCGTGTACAGGGTAGGCGGAGGCGAAGGCTGAGAGGCGAAGGATACGAGAAAGGTGCTGTCAGCGACGTGTGGGGGGGTTGAGGCGACGCAAGTCTAGTAGCGGTGTTAAAACAAATTGACGTACTTGCGAAACGACGTATAATGGGCAGACGTAATGTTGGGCATTGCTGTAGTTATGCCAATCTGTGCAAGGGCTACGCCAAGCTCCCCTTGAACAACACCGGTGTGGACTAGGCTGGTGGGGTATGCGATGGATTATATGTCTCAACATTTATTTGTGCACTCTCGTGAGACCAGTCAATCACGGACGGGTCGTGCTAATAACACGCACAGAATCAGCTCTTTAAAATAACAACACCGCTTCAAGCTTAAAGCTGAATTGGCTCAACTCAAGAACGGATCACGAACATCTGCCAGTAACTGCTTCCAGGTCTTTGGGCTGGACACCCCAAAAATACAGTGATACCTCGGTTCACGAACTTAATTCGTGAACTGACTCTGGTCGTGAACCGAATTGGTCGTGAACCGAGGCACATTTTCCCATAGGGTTCAATGTATATCCGGTTAATCCGTTCTGACCTTTTCTTTTGGTTTTTGAAGCACAAAAATATGAAACAAATTACAATACACATTAGTACTGTACAGTATAGTAATGTATAAAGAGAGAACACTAACCTTGCTTGAGATGACTTCAGTAAGCATTCAAACGGGTGAACTGTACAATACAGTAAGAACAGTATTGTACAGTACAGTAGTAGAGTACTGTATGTGCTAAAAAGCACACCAAAAAGCAAAAAGTCACTGAAAGTGTCTTCACAGTACTCACAGTACTTCTTTCTGTGTCTCTTCTTCTCTCCACGATCTTCCTACAGGAAGTCACGACCATGTGACAGCCTGGAAATAGCATTAAAATGGTCGCGGCTCCTGTTCGTGAACCGAAGCGGAGTTCGTGAACCGGAGCATTTTTTTATGAACTTTTCTGTTCGTGAACCGAGTTGTTCGTGAACAGAAGCGTTCGTGAACCGAGGTATCACTGTACAGGGTACTACTGCACTTCCAAGAAATATTCTCATCTAATTCCCAACACACACCACACATTTCAGCTCCATGACACCTTACCTGCAAGCTGGCACACAAGCGCAAGCATATGCTGGCTGCAAAATGTGTCTTCCAGCTGACGAACATCAGACTTCTTTATTTCTAGCGAGAGGCCCAGATCAACGCACATAACCTTCAATGGACACAACAGGGGACCCGTGAAATCATTTAGCATCACTTGCCTTATGACGAGATGTATCACAATTCAGCTTTACAAGCAGCAACGTTTCCTGTACTATCCCCTCAGGCTGCCCGACACAAACACGGGTTGTTCATAACGACTCATTAAAGCAACTCCATGTTTGTGGCCTCCTTGTTTAAAGAACGACAAAGAAATAACATACATTATAGACCATTGTGGTGTATTCTGGTTACAACATGCACCTCCATTCTTTATCTCCACATACAAATGACAGACACATTTTACTCTGTTAGCCAATGGAGGAAGAGGCTTAGGAATGAAGGAGCAGCAATGGTCTCTCCTCTATCTCCTGTGAAGCTGACAGAACTCTACCATTTCTGGATATTCTGCTCGGGCATGGTTGAAATTGTAAAATAACAAACAGCGTTTACGGAAAGAAAACGCACACTTACGCCTATTTGAAAGCAGTCACACCATCACCTGCACATACATTCTCATCAAGACAGTCATACATCGGGCTAAGAAAGTGTCAGGTGGTGACAGACTGAGAAGTTAAATTATACATGTTAAAGAATCGCTGCAATTGAACGGTTACAATGATGCACAAATCAACAGGGCATTGAATGCTAAAACAAATAAAATAACACGAGCGTTGAAACTGACCAAGTAATTTAAACTATTAAAATAACGTACATTGCAGGAGTAAATGATAAGCTAGCCACATGTTTGGAAAAACAAAACACCCGAGTCAGATTTGGCACAGTACATAAAATAAAGAAACTAATATCTGGTACAAAATATGTATTACCGAAGCGATCAACAGAAGGTGTGTACCGGATTAACTGCACTTGTGGCAAATGCTATGTTGAGCAAACAGGACGAATATAATCAGCATGAAGCTAAAAGAACACCAAATAAATATTAAATACTCCCAAATACAACTGTTGGCAGTGGCAGAACACACGTGCCAACAAGGATACTCAATTGATTTTGATAATGTTGAAGTTCTGTGCAAAACTAGTTACTACTGGCCAAGGCTAATCGGAGAATCTATCGAAATTGACAGAAATAAAAATAATTTAACGGTTCAGATAGCTACAGACTTAGTGCTGCTTGGAAGCGAATCATCAAATGATACATTGTTTAAATGCATGCCTATACAGGTCACCATACTTCAATAGGGATCACCGTTGAATAATAACTGGCATGGATATTTTAGTAAACACAATCGACAGGAGGTACAAGAACAATGGGTTTGCATAATGTGCATCCATAATGTACATTGATTACCATATCAATAACCAAACTGGCAATCGATACCCATTGTAATTTATATGCATTCATTAATCCCCCCCCCCACCCTCCCCGACATCACTCAAGAAGTGCTAACAAGTTATGCCATCACAGCTACCCTTTCTATTTAAATTTTAAAATGCCGCTGGTCAATAGACGGCTAAGACTAAAATATATTTGATTTTAACGTGATATAGAAAATAGTTGCTTTTATACAAGAGCTACAGAAGACTGGTCTGATGCCATCTGCCAGTGAGATTAGACGGGTCACACTCGCACGTCGGTGCTCAAACGATGGTCAGCCTGCAAGTGGCCACTTGGGCACGCGTGTTCCTCTCATTCTCAGCTGTACTGCACGTGGTGTACAGATGACATCTTGAATCCCGTTATTTACCACTATTGAATTGCCTAACTCCGCAAAAGACATGCAAGGCCACTTACCTCGACGTGGTCACCGGACACGTTTACAACAGATGCCCGTAACCAGCCCCGCTCCTCGGCATTCACAGCCACCAACTCATCGACGCTGAAGCAAGGCATCATCCTGCCCTTGTTGGAGCCATAATATAGGTTCATCGATTCAATAAGTTCATTCAATTGGCAAGCGTATATTCCGCTGCAATATCTATAAAATATGAAAGAAAAACAGTCAACGATGGACAAAACAGCAGCGTTGTCACAACAAGCGTGTGCTTCAGAGCTTCCACGAAAAAGGCATCGAATTCTCACCTCACAATCACCTCGTTAGTCGACTCGGCCGTGACGAATGAAACTAACACAACGTCTTCTTCAGACAGGGTCAGCGATGGAATCTGCACCCACGCCGAGGAGAGCTTTTCATTCACACAGGTGCCATTTTCTTTGTAAAGCACCACGATGGCAAATTCTCCTTTTACTTCTTCCACTTTGACCTTCAACCGCTCGCTCAGGCAGCCGAGCTCCCCGAGGGCCGTGGAGGCCCACTGCGCGCCGTGCTCGCCCACGGGGCGCAGACAACAACGCACGCACTGGGCGGGGAGACGGGCGCACGAAGGGGGCAACTTGCAGACCTGTGTGCGGCCGCAGCTGGTGTGAAAACCGTAATCTATTGCGAAAACGATGGCAGTCTGTTCTTTCACGTCAACGGACTGGACTTGACCTCGATACCAGCTGTTCGATATCTCAAAAGAACAGAAGGTTCCTTGGATGAATTGGGCGAGCTCCCTTTTACCAGTTGCAAACTGATTGAGCAGCATGTTGCTGATGCTTCTCAAATCGTTTTCCAGAAAGTCCGTTTCAAATTGGATGTAAAATTCTTCGCAGCGTCTTACCCAACTAATCTTCCCAAATGTCAATTCAGTCTTCGGCAAAACAGCAGGTGCGACAATTACCTCAGAGGTGTCTGGAAAATGAAGAATCACACTTTTTGGATTGTTTTTCAGAGGCATGTCCAAGTCAAAAATCTCTGAAAGGCATTCATATTTCTGCATTATCTCCTCAGGAAATGTCTGCTTATATTTCTTGAAAAATAAATTTGGGAGACACTTCAACCAAATTCCATTACTGTGGTCCTTCAGCAGGTCACTCAGCTGTCGTTTCAAAACATCACTCAACGGCGACTTATTTTCATGCTTTTTTTCCAACAAGCTTTGACGAGGTGTGAATTTCACCACATTGCCCAAGTTCGCTTGGAATCCTCCCCCAAGTGGGTTGAGACCAGGATTAATAATACCATCAAATTGCATTCTGGCATCATCAGATAGCATGACTATGCAACTGCCAGATTTTTCAGAACCAAATCTTTTCACCTGCAATATAAAAATAACGAGTTACACAGTGAAATTTTATGATCATAAGGGCACAAAGCATCCTTCCCACAAATCTCGACACCGAACATGACACTTAACACGTGGATAAGGAGTTAAACGGCTAATTCAGTCGATTATCCACACATTTTGTGAGCACAAGCTAAGTAAATTTAAGCCTATGGATAATAGGGTTTTCCCCTTTTTATGGCAACAAAACAGGTGTTCAGATGTTAAAACACCAAACTGAAATCTTTTACAAGGAATCATGTCTACATTAACCACAATTTTTGTGGTCAGAATGCAAACAAAAAACATGCTCTAGTAGTATATGCATTGTCCTTGAAACTGATTGGTCCACACCAGAGACAGCTTTCTTTTGAGCCTCGTCTCAAATGGTGTTAGACCAGAGGACGCCAAAAGGCGTACAGCTCAAAGACAATAGGTTTTTAACATCTTAACACCTGTTTTGTTGGCAGAAAAAAGGGGAAAACCCAATTATCATATTTTGGTACTGGCAAAGGAGACCCCATGATGTAGAAGCATATGGATAATTGGGTCTGGAGTGTTCATCCCCCAAATCACTGTGGATAAGAGGATTTCTAATCCACTAATTTTACATGAAACCATTTGACCATGAGCCTCGGATAGTCCTAAAATGTTACTTACATGGCATATGTCAGTCCATTTGTTCAAATATTCCAGTATAACTTCTGGTAAGTCTTCAGCAAAGGTCCGTTCATATAACATAGATAAATCGGACCACAGAATGCATTTTTTCTCAATGAGTATAGTATGAATGCGGTTTCTCAAAACAGAATGCGCAAGTGAGGAGTCCTTCGAGTTATTTTCATATGCCTCATCGCACTCTTTTAAGCCTGATGAAACACCATACATCGGCAAACTAGGGCAAGAAACAAAAGTACGTAACACGTTAGTCAAACATCGGTGAAACTTCCCAGAACATTGACACCGTTCCATGTAAAACAGATTCTTAGTCATGTTTCACAAGTTATTTGAGCATTGAAAACAGTAAAATAAACACATTTGACTTACTGATCACCATCATGTTTTAAGGTGTTAAACATGTGTGATTGAGTAAAGGAAGGCATTTCACTGCAATATTCCAAGGAGTTTTCATTACCAGCCGGTCGTCGTATGGTTTGCTCTGTTAAATTTAAAACACAATAAAACATGCAATTAAGACAAACATCTATAACCGTGCAATAAAATAATATACTCACACTTACCATGTGTAAGCAAGAGTGATAACCCACAAACTGCTATTATGACTACAATGGCCGGCGATTTGGCATGATTGCTTGAGGTTCGCTTAGCCTTCATATTTTTGGGTTAATAAATACTGCCGACAAAGCGTTATTGTTTGAGTGTCGCTTCTTCAAGCGGGCGTACAACCAAAGCAGTCACTTGATCCCTTTTCGTAACAAAGAGGCAAATATCGACGAAAAACACATCTGTTTAAAATGGATTTCTCTCTCTTCAGTTATCTTCAAATGCCTTTCTCACTTATTCTATCATTGGTTGATGTTAAACTATTTCCACCTTTTCATGCAGAGCACTCTGAGAGCAATTATTATTTAAGGGCGCTTTATACAGTAAAATTATTGCCAAATACGGCATTGTTTTCGCCAAACAAGATTTGAATGTAAGGAGACTGCACCATCATGCCGGATTCTCCATTTATCTGCATGATTAGTGTATTTTTGAGTACAATGCTTCTCATAATGTGATGCTCAATTGAAATTCTTACACACATACTACCAAACCAAAGCAGAGCCAAATTTAATTCGCCTATCTCAGACAAATGCCCCAGATGCCCACCAGACACTCCACAAACAGACTGTCATGCATTTTGGGACTGCCCCTGACATCACCAGATTGTTTAGCCTTGTGATTTGTTACTTCAATCACATCACCAAGTCGTCCGTCACCCCCTCAACTTCCAACCTCCCTCGAGGCTTACCGACCCACCAGGACTCACCAAGGGGGAAAACTCCCTGTATAAGATCTTTAACACTAAAGGGGAAAACGAGAGTAATCCTCTGCACATGGCAGTCACACACACCACCTCTCTCCAGGCCAGCCTGGCCCTCGAGCCAAACTGCTCACTGGAACATTTTTGCATGGTCCTCGGCAATTGGGAGGATTTCAAAAATTCTCCACCCCTCCGGCAAGGTTCAAGACCTCGTGGTCTTAGTCCAAGGGCTTAACCCCCCCTCCGCTTCTCCTCTTATCCTCCCTACCCTCCCCCTGCGTACAATTTGTTATCTTATTCGTGTTCCCCTTCGCGTCACGTTAGGCATCACGCTAGGCATCACACGCCCACTCTCCCACCTACACATCCCTCCTACTTGCCCCACCAGACGTGCCCTCAATCAACACGCACTTACCGATTGCCACCACCCCATGAGTCACGCAAACACCCACAACACGGCTTGCCTCCCCCACAACGCTCCTCAAAGCATCACCTCTATATTGTGTCTCCCACTGATAACATTCACCCTCCCCGTGTGGGACACCAACCCACGTGTTGGTGTGACTCCTCCACTGTGCTTCACCCTTCGTGCATCCACACGCAACCCCGTCTGACCGTACGCTGCACCTTCCCCTCCCCGTTTTTCTAAATCTTCAATTAAACACTTATGGTAAATACAAGTACAAAGCTCTTGGGAATCATACTGCAGTAAATCATAATTTTCACCACCATATAGTGAACATACTTTTAGATCTAAAAATGTACAGAATACTATTTATAAATAGTGGTGTTTTGCAAGATACCGATCTGCACGTGGCTCCGCTGGAGTTGCGATGATGACGTGTGCGAGAGTCCCGTTTCGACACCCATGCTGAGATCATCAAATTCACTGCCTGGTGAAGCAGGCGGCAGTTCTACAGAGTGGCATGTGATCTGGAATTCAAAAAAATGCTGTCCTTGAGAAAACATAAAATGTTAAGGTCTTTCGGTAACGTCACGTAGATAGGTTCAAAGAAAATAACAAATAATTATTATTATTTTAACCTATCTACGTGACTTTACTGAAAGACCCAAGAATATAAATTTCTGCAGTCACGAAAGTTTTAAGTCAAGATTGAAGATAGTATGCTATTATACACCACATGTACTAGATTCGACAGCTGTTACACAGTCACCACCCCTCTACCATGGTCTGCTCAAACGAAGGTGTTTTCTATGTGTTTATGAGCAATGTTAGTCCGATCACACCTTGTGGCGTGCAATGCTCAAGGCTCTGCAGTGCACCATTAACCCTTTTCCAGTGGCACATCTGAGCAGCGCCAGCACGGCCTTTCGCCGTACAGGTAGTTTTCCCACTATTTGTCGCTCCAAGCCACAAGCAAATTGTGAAACTCTGGCCTCACAAGTCATGTGAATCAGGCTTGGGCCCAAGCAGGGCCAGGCAGGGTGGTGGTGTAATAATTGTTATCGTACGTTGCATTAGACAGTAAACTTGAACGTATAACAGAAGTGACTCGTCCATCGCGTGACATCTGCAGTAGACATCAACCTCCTGAGCCGCAACCGCACTGGGCCGGGCTGGGTGGGTGGTGGTCTAACCTCACCAGTGGGGCTACATCGCACGCTCACCACGCCGGGCAGACGTTGAACCAGGTTATCCACATGGCAGCCGCTGGGCTCCACGCGCGACTGCTCGCTGGTGAAGCGGCGGTCTTCCTCGGGCGGGCGCAACGACCGCGGGGCCTCCCAAGGGCTTGGCAGGGTGCCCACCCCCTTGGATTTGGGGTCCATCCCGTACCACATTTCTGCTGCTGCGACAAAAGATCAACGCTCACCGACACCATGCACGCGCAGTCAGCAGCTGGCGAGAACCACAAGGCACAGGCCACGACAAACAACATGCAGCGGACACCACGCGGAGCCCAGACAGCCACTATGGAAACAAATAGCATGGTATGTACACCGCCGTAAACACTACAAGCATCTATGAAAGCTATTCTCCCAGCTGCACCACACAGCTATCCCACGCGTAGCTATTCTTCTTTCGTAGCTGCTTGTGCCCAGGCCATCCCTCCCACGCGTTTGGGCTTAATTCATGGACAAAACACCGACGACGACGACGTTGTTGTTGATGAAGTTTAATCCGAAGTGACCCTCAGAAGCGGGACAATTGCCGTTACATGATACTGTACTTCAATGCAGCGGGTCTCGTCAGGGTGCATCTGTGATTAAAGATAAGCCTGGCCTTAAAATAGTCGACATTACGGCCAATAGCCCACCTTTAATATCACGTGAAAAAATGCACCCACTGCCACACGCAACGTCACCAAATAATCTGTGATTTTGAAGTCACGTTTCACTGTCAATGTAAAACATTCATCTCTGTTCGCGTGACGCGCAGCCCAGGGGCGTTGTGTGGCGGAACTGCGGCGTCGTCGTCGTTCGCGTCGCCCCGACCCACCGCGCACACCACACACAAGGTAACATCGCACACCACTAGGTGACGTCACACACCACGAGGTAACCTCACACACCAAGAGGTAACCTCACACACACAGTGCTGCTCTACAGCAGGGCTGGGGGACGTCCGGCCCGTGGGCCCTACGAGGCCCGCGAAGTCATCTGGCCTCTGGCCCTGGCAAGGCGGCCGCAGGCGAGACTCGAAACTCAATGAATCTGGGAGCAAACCTGGAGAAGCAGCTGCGAGTAGCAGCAACAAACATCATCAACACCAGCAGCCAACATCATCAACACCAGCAGCCTACACCATCAACATCAGCAGCTAACATCATCAACACCAGCAGCTAACATCATCAACACCAGCAGCTAACATCATCAACACCAGCAGCTAACATCATCAACACCAGCAGCTAACATCATCAATACCAGCAGCTAACATCATCAACACCAGCAGCTAACATCAACACCAGCAGCTAACATCATCAACACCAGCAGCTAACATCATCACACGCCTCGCCAAAGAGAAGCAGTTCCAGCCATCACATTATGGGCGAGTTAATGAAATGTTTGACCAAATATTACGGGCTAATTTTTAAACTTGATATTTTTTTATGGCCCGCGAATGACGTTACATAAAGATCCAAATGGCGCTTGGCTGTAAAAAGGTTCCCCGCCCTTGCTCTAGTCTACACCAACATCGCCACGCGAAGGGTACAAACACCGTCATCATCGTTGCGTTTAAGGCCAAATTCAGCACGTTGAACGCTTGGAAATGTTACTTACATTGCGTCAAAGTTATAAATATATCACTCCACGGCACAGCCCCGAGTTCCGTGCCATGAAGAGACGTCGCCGATTGTGTTTTATGTGTCAAGGCCTCAGCGTTGTTGACGAGTCTGCCGAGGTTTGTGTTTTAGTTTGTGAGCATCTTGATTGGGAACGCTTACATTTTAAATGCTTAAGTCTCTTACAAACCCCGGCCCACCCCCTTCTTACACGACGGGAAGAACGAGAATGCACGACATCGTTGACATTTCGCGTCGGGTTAAGGAGCTACAATTTGGAGTTTGTGTCGATGGGTTTACAAGTCGGTAAAATTGTTTACAAGTAGAACCGACGGGAATTATTTAACGCCACAGGTGGCTGAACGCAAGCGGCCGGCAACAAACAGCACCGCTAAAGTTGTAATAGACAAGAGATTTATATAAACACGTTTACTGATTAATTAAGATATTCACTATAACAACTCGGGTACATTGTTATGGGGGATGGGGAATCTCCAGTGGCGCAGTGCTTGCGAGCGAGGCCTGATGACGGACGCTGGTGTTGCGCCCGAAACGTCGTGATTTAATTAACTTTATATTGTATAGCTACGTGACTTTAAGGAGAGACCCAACGAGTATGAACACGAGAGGAGTTGTCGTTACCTGCTGTTGTTGTTGTTGTTGCTGTTGTTGTTGTTGCTGCTGCTGCCGCCGCCTTCCTCGTCTCTCGGGGCGCCCAACGGGAACCTCGTGGCGCCAGTTGCGGCCACGCGCTCGTCACGTGACCGGGGGCGGCACCGCCACGTGACTAAAAACGCGCGCGAAACGACGCGTCACCGGATGCGAGGTCACGCAGCACCAGCTGACGACTTAAATTGTGATAAAAATATATTTAAATAATTAACGTTTATCGCATGCTTCTGAGAGAAATCGCGTTATTTCGTCTGTGCAAGTCAGAATATAGCGAATACGGTGATACACTGAAATATCACAATGCTGACGGAAAAAAAATGTAAACTGTGGATGTGACGTCACGTTTTCTCGCACGTTTCGAGGCAAAAGGTCAACGTCACATCCGTTATTTGTTCGTGCCGCTCCGAGAGACGTCACATTTGGGTCCGCGCTCTTCGGCATAGATGACGTCATGCACACAATTTAAAATAAAATAAAAAAACATGACATCACGTCCGCCAGAAGAGTGACGTCACGCGAAGAAGGGGTCCCAAACGCTCTCCGCCGAGGTTCCCCCAAGACCCGGGCGAGCGCGGTGAGTCGTGGTGAGGGGCAGTGGTGTGAGTCGTGGTGAGGGGCAGTGGGGTGAGTCGTGGTGAGGGGTAGCGGGGTGAGTCGTGGTGAGGGGCAGTGGGGTGAGTCGTGGTGAGGGGTAGCGGGGTGAGTCGTGGTGAGGGGCAGTGGTGTGAGTCGTGGTGAGGGGCAGTGGGGTGAGTCGTGGTGAGGGGCAGTGGGGTGAGTCGTGGTGAGGGGTAGCGGGGTGAGTCGGGGTGAGGGGCAGTGGGGTGAGTCGTGGTGAGGGGTAGCGGGGTGAGTCGGGGTGAGGGGCAGTGGGGTGAGTCGTGGTGAGGGTCAGTGGGGTGAGTCGTGGTGAGGGGCAGTGGGGTGAGTCGTGGTGAGGGGTAGCGGGGTGAGTCGGGGTGAGGGGCAGTGAGGTGAGTCGTGGTGAGGGGTAGCGGGGTGAGTCGGGGTGAGGGGCAGTGGGGTGAGTCGTGGTGAGGGGTAGTGGGTGAGTCGTGGTGAGGGGCAGTGGGGTGAGGGGTAGTGGGGTGAGTCGTGGTGAGGGGCAGTGGGGTGAGTCGTGGTGAGGGGCGGTGGGGTGAGTCGTGGCGAGGGGCAGTGGGGTGAGTCGTGGTGAGGGGCAGGGGGTGAGTCGTGGTGAGGGGCAGGTGGGGTGAGTCGTGGTGAGGGGTAGTGGGTGAGTCGTGGTGAGGGGCAGTGGGGTGAGTCGTGGTGAGGGTGGTGGGGTGAGTCGTGGTGAGGGGCAGTGGTGTGAGTCGTGGTGAGGGGTAGTGGGTGAGTCGTGGTGAGGGGTAGTGGGTGAGTCGTGGTGAGGGGTAGTGGGGTGAGTCGTGGTGAGGGGTAGTGGGGTGAGTCGTGGTGAGGGGCAGTGGGGTGAGTCGTGGTGAGGGTAGGGGTGAGTCGTGGTGAGGGTAGTGGGGTGAGTCGTGGTGAGGGGCAGTGGGTGAGTCGGGGTGAGGGACAGTGGGGTGAGTCGTGGTGAGGGGCAGTGGGGTGAGTCGTGGTGAGGGGTAGTGGGTGAGTCGTGGTGAGGGGCAGTGGGGTGAGTCGTGGTGAGGGGCAGTGGGGTGAGTCGTGGTGAGGGGCAGTGGGGTGAGTCGGGGTGAGGGACAGTGGGGTGAGTCGTGGTGAGGGGTAGTGGGGTGAGTCGTGGTGAGGGGCAGGGGTGAGTCGTGGTGAGGGGTAGTGGGTGAGTCGTGGTGAGGGGCAGTGGGGTGAGTCGTGGTGAGGGCAGTGGGGGAGTCGTGGTGAGGGGTAGTGGGGTGAGTCGTGGTGAGGGGCAGTGGGGTGAGTCGTGGTGAGGGGCAGGGGTGAGTCGTGGTGAGGGTAGTGGGTGAGTGGTGAGGGGCAGTGGGGTGAGTCGTGGTGAGGGGCAGTGGGGTGAGTCGTGGTGAGGGGCAGTGGGGTGAGTCGTGGTGAGGGGTAGTGGGGTGAGTCGTGGTGAGGGGCAGTGGGGTGAGTCGTGGTGAGGGGCAGTGGGGTGAGTCGTGGTGAGGGGCAGTGGGGTGAGTCGTGGTGAGGGGCAGTGGGGTGAGTCGTGGTGAGGGTGTAGTGGGGTCGTGGTGAGGGGCAGTGGGGTGAGTCGTGGTGAGGGGCAGTGGGGTGAGTCGTGGTGAGGGGTAGTGGGGTGAGTCGTGGTGAGGGGTAGTGGGGTGAGGGGCAGTGGGGTGAGTCGTGGTGAGGGGTAGTGGGGTGAGGGGCAGTGGGGTGAGTCGTGGTGAGGGGTAGTGGGGTGAGTCGTGGTGAGGGGCAGCAGGGTGAGGGGTAGTGGGGTGAGGGGCAGTGGGTGGTGGGTGAGTCGTGGTGAGGGGTAGTGGGGTGATCGTGGTGAGGGGCAGTGGGGTGAGTCGTGGTGAGGGGCAGTGGGGTGAGTCGTGGTGAGGGGTAGGGGTGAGTCGTGGTGGGGCAGTGGGGTGAGTCGTGGTGAGGGGCAGTGGGGTGAGTCGTGGTGAGGGGCAGTGGGGTGAGTCGTGGTGAGGGGCAGTGGGGTGAGTCGTGGTGAGGGTAGTGGGTGAGTCGTGGTGAGGGGCAGTGGGGTGAGTCGTGGGGTGAGGGATAGTGGGGTGAGTGTCGTGGTGAGGGGCAGTGGGGTGAGTCGTGGTGAGGGGTAGTGGGTGAGTCGTGGTGAGGGGCAGTGGGGGTGAGTCGTGGTGAGGGGTAGTGGGTGAGTCGTGGTGAGGGGCAGTGGGGTGAGTCGTGGTGAGGGGTAGTGGGGTGAGTCGTGGTGAGGGGCAGTGGGGTGAGTCGTGGTGAGGGGTAGTGGGGTGAGTCGTGGTGAGGGGCAGTGGGGTGAGTCGTGGTGAGGGGTAGTGGGGTGAGGGGTAGTGGGGTGAGGGGTAGTGGGGTGAGTGCGGCGGGGTGTCGCCTCTGTGAGCGCCGATGTGCCCGGTTCTCGTGACATCGTCTGGCTGCCGTGTGCACAGCGCCGTGTCACTCCGCTGCTCTTTTTCTCACTGCCGCTTCTTGTATTTTTCCCCGTCACGCCTCGTGTTGTCCTGTAAAAGTATTCCTCTCGGCTCGAAGCCACATTGTACTCCTTATCTCACTGCGTCTATGTACATATGTCGATAAATGCGAAGCTACTTTTTGGTAATTTCATTTGCCTATTTAAGAACTGGTTCCGTGGTGTAAACAATGGCAGTCTCCAATCATTGTTGACTCCATCTCTCTGGCAAATGTGCTGTGAAGAAGGGCCATTGCCCGAAACGTCGCCGATTACATGTTTTATGTTCAGGCAGTGTCATTGACGCGTCGAGTTTCAATGCAAACGTGCAGTCCTTAGGTCCGATGATTTTATGGCAACATTTGTCCTTGCGTCTTGGATGATCACGGTTATTTTTTCTACTCGAGTTTCCTCTGTTTTTACATTGAGCAAATGACAGTTTTTACATCAGATGAAATCCAGTACCTAAATTATGTAATTACGTCTACTTAATTCTGTTTTAAAAGGAGAGCTAACCGACTGGAAAATGCATGCAACCTATCTGCTGGACTGTAAATGTGTAAACCACGATCATTGGCAACGGAATAACGAACGGGCACTTGAGAGGCCGCCCGAACGAGTGAGGGAGTAACATTCTAGGAGATAATCTTAGTTTTTTTTTCGGTAAAATAAAAATAAATTAAATCACGGACGTTTCGGAGGCAACACAAGCTTCCGTCTTCAGGTGGCACCGTCGCAGCAAACTTACTGTATCAAGTGGGGTATCAAAGAAGCTTGTGTTGCCTCCGAAACGTCATGATTTCATTTATTTTAATTTTATTTTTACCTACGTGACTTTACCGAAAAAGAACGAAGAGTATGAACCCTTGCAGTTACGAAAACTTCAAATCTAGAAGAAATTCTAGTAGATATGTCTCTATCATCTTCCACATACACACTTAGTCACATTCTGGAACAAAACAAACGAATATGAAATATAATTTTATCTGGACTCGGAGAAGGCATGTGACTCGTTGGAAATTGATGTAGTTATCCAGGCTCGCACAAACCAAGGCATAAATAAAGTCACGATTAAAGTCGGTTACAAGGTTGGAGCAACTACACGAGGACGGAACTGGATTAAGACCACGACTTTATCCAGAAGTAGATAGATTGTGGCGAGTGATGGTGAATGTATGTACACTTGTAATTAGCTTATGTATGTGTGATGTATGTTCACTTGTGGAGGAGGTTAGTGAAGGATCCTGCTGGGGAGTCGGAGGCAGTCGCTCTCCAGCAACAGCGGAGGGCAGAGGAGCAAGGCTCACAACAACGAGAGGAGCGCCGGGAGGCTAAAACTCAATGTTGGCACAGTGGGGAGCACGGTTGGTGCATTTGCCAGCCATTTCAGTCAGCCATGGCACCTGGCTCTGGTCCGTGACCTTTTGCCAGCGAGCCTTCGACACTTCACGTGGCCTAAAAGTGCACATAACATTGCACAAGCGCCATTGGTGATGTTACCACCACTTAGTGGTGAATGGCGGCTGTTGTTCACTTGTAAAATGTACATTTGTGATGTAGAATGCGGTGTAGCAACACTCGTATGGGGTGTAGCACACGTGTGATGTGCGTCGTGTAATGTAGTGTGTGGTGTAGGACCACCCATGTAACGTGGTGCATTCGAACGCTGTGCCCACACCGACAGATGGATCCAGCCCTATTGCGCGAGCGTGAGCGGTTCAAGCAGCGTGCCTTGGCCCAACCGGTGGTAGAGAAGCGGCCGGCACCCTCCTCAAGCTCCTCCTCCTCCAAGAAGAAGAAATCACGGCCTGACCATGGGGGGTCCAGCGGGGCCAAATCTGGAGGTCAGTGGCTGACCTCCGTGGGGGCCCTTTCTGCCAGCGGCCCTGCCATTAAGCTGCCTTTGTCGTGTGGTGAATTCCACATTCCTTTTATTGGTTTTTTTTGCTCT